CCAACAGGAAGGTCATTGATGAAAATTAAGAACAACGTAGGTTCAAGGATTGACCCTGTGGACGCTTGTATTAATGCACAAAGATCTAGAAGAGTGGCCGTTCAAGACAACTTTCATTTCGCCATTTGATAAGAAAGACTGAATCAGTTCAAAAACTACTTCAGAAATACCATAACATTTTAACTTTTGAAGAAGACCAGTATGTCAAACTCTGTCAAATGCCTTCTATATATCCAAAGCAACAGTCCGAGCTTCACAATTCTTATCTAAAGCTTGTTAGACACTTTCATGAATAAGCGTTAATACATCAGCTAATTTGATCTTATCGAAGTGATCAGTTAAGACCCGAGTAAATGGTCGTGACATCCGCGTCGATTCCGAGTTGAGAACACGTCAGCAGTTGACCTAGACATGCAAAGGTTATATTGCCTATTTGAAGCTGTTCTTTTTGCTGACCACTATACATTCTGAAATATTACAATTGATGTTTAGTCCGTTCTTCCCACTTTCCTTAATAAACCATCTATATGAGCTTCTGCAGTTTCCTTTCTCTGTCTGTTATCAACCCTGAGTCATCTGTATATCTTTTACATACGTTAATTTTACTAATTATAAATTTATATTAATCAATTAGCATTCGACTGATATTCATATATTAACAGTGATTATTTATGTTATAATCACTAATTATATTAAAATACTTTATTATTTTTTGTTCCCAGTATATTTTTTTCCTATGACTGAATGTGCAACTTGCATACCTTCAGCATTCAAAATAGACACGAGAAAACTTTCCCCATGCCACTCACACACTGGACAGCATGGCCATATTACACCTGCCACTAATGATGGCGATTTTCTAAGTGTAGCTTACATGTGGCCGAAAATATGGGGAACCCAACCCTGCCACTGATTATTAAAGATTGTCTACCTGGTCATTGGTGGCAGTTGTATCGTTTTGACCCAGCTAAAATGTTGTTTGGGTCATTGTAGGTCCGTCAACAAGCTAATGGTTATCTAGTCCTCCCAGAAAATCATTTGTATCCTAACGTGTGAAAACGAACCGAATTAATTTTGGAACGCTAATTCTTATAAAATAAAATATTAATTCATGAAGGCATTTCCAGCACGTGATGCTACTTCATTTTCTATTGTGTGACACTGGAAGCTCAAAAAAAAAAAAAAAAAAAAAAAAAAGAACGAAAGAAAAAAGGGAAGAGAAGTAGGGACTACTAAATGGATCATAAGTATTGAAATTCGCAGGAAAGTAGATTGAAAAGTTGAAAAGAATGTTAAAAATGAAATGCGTTGAAAATCACGTTTCAAAATAAAATGTAATCCTGAATAGTAGAATCAAACCCAAATTTAACTAGACGGAATTCAGTAAAATTGAGCAAAACCAAGACTACCCGTTCTTCCCGTCTTCCCGCTGATAAAAAGAGACAAATGTATTCTCGAAGATGTGGATCCTGGAAAATAGAAAAACATATCTTGTCGATAAAGAAACCCGGGTGGTCACCGAAATATTATTTAAGATTGTTCTGGACAAAGAGCCAGGAAAAAACATCTGGTTTGAATCGGCCACCCAGAAGAAAAATATCCCTACAAAAATAAAGATTAATGCCTAAGATTGGGGACGAGTTCGTTCATTTTAATTTCTGTGACATTCGTCAAAACATTTATAGATGACATTATTTCGGATTCCTTTGGATACAAGTGATAATGAAAAATTAATTACTAGCCCTGAAATGACCATAGGCGACCGGTTGTGTGGCCTGGTAGATTGAGAAACCAGGTAAAAACAACCAGCGTGTGACAAGCTGATAAGGAAAGATTAATGACAGAAAATCCCCTTTTCGCCTACGCATTCTGAAAGTTTGGATTCGTCAGAGTGACATTGTGTCGGCTCTTGGAGTGTTGGATGCTGAGAAATTAGTAGAAAGAAAAGAAAGATTAGCACCGCCTACATGGAGCGATGGTGTGAGATGAGACGTGAAGAGAGAGTTAAGGGGCGGTTTGATTCCTCTGACCATTCTCAAAAGGGGACTGGACAACCCCTAAATTACTGCCTTAACCGGGTATTGAACTCACACTCTTTGGGTACTGTCACTGGATCTAATCAACGCTTTTATCCACTGTGCCATGTGTCTTTGAGGGCAGTGGAGAACTTGGACAGGGGAATTAACAAGAGATAACTGATAACTGACATCCATGGCACGTGGAACTAGAACAGTCTACCCCAGTGAGCGAAATAAAGGGTTCAGTTCGACATTCCAACCACCTGAGGAAGGCCGGAGCGTACAAGGGCTGAAACGTTGTAATAAATATGTCGACAAAGATGAGAACAATAGTCCGAATGATGTAAATAGTGTACATAATAACTCATCTCAGAAATATAGACAGATATTCAGGAATAATTCGTTTAACATTTTACGACTATCATTAGTAGATCTGGTTGGCTATCACTGAAACAGAATGGTATAAAGAGGTGAAAAGACCCGCTACACGTGAAAGGCAATATTTATATATAGATGTACAAATATAAGTTAGAAGTAGAAAAAATTAAGTCAGTCAAGTAATAACAAACTGGAAATAATAAGCAAGATAAAAAACCCCCAAAAAACCACTTACTTGAATGTCACAGTGCTTCACCAGAGATAGCCATGTAGAACCGGTATCTCTCGAGCCGTTCAAGATAAAAAGAGAAGACCGTTTAGATGGTTTGCTGGAAAGTTTGGTTTAGTTTGTTTTGCGGTATATCAACCTATTGCGTCATTTAATGTCTTAAAGTGACTGTGTGATTTTACTGTCCCATTCGTGCGGAGTTGTCACGTGATATTTTATATTTAAGATAGACGATTATTTTTGTATCTCTATACTTGCATTGGTCTGCAACTGATCCGCCACCAGCTGTCATGGACCTTACCTAACGGCTATATAATAGATGGAGATATCGGAAGGACAGATTTAGATTTGTACAACACCATATTTATCTAAAATATCCGCTCCCGTGCAGGCCGTTCATTGGAAAGAACCTTGGAATGAATAGCTATCTTTATCTACCTATTTATGGTATAATTCAATTTTCCGTTTTAGAATAAGAAATATGTTTGAAATTACAGTTCTATGAAGCCCTTTTCCCCAAGTAGCACTTTCCTATTGCACTAGAAACGACGAAGTTAAACCCTCATACCTGAGACATCCCTAGGGATAGTACCGAGGAATCTAAACAATGTTATCTATAGTCCCAAATATGTGAAGGCCTCTTTGTTCCATATTCAGTTACAGTTAGAGGAAAGATACATAGCCATATAAAGTCAGTCATAAGGGCAATTTCCTTGATTGGTTTTTCTAGATGACTGAATGCTTTTCCAGTAGCACGGGCCTTGGTCTAGTTGGACCAACTTTTAACGCGAGGTTCAAAAATGTTCCCGCAAAAATATCCAGGACGAGACAAATCGGGGCTCAAGTGAAGCTGTGTTCAAACTCAATGTTCTGATTTACCGAACTTTTAATCAGTACCATTTATGATCCCGTTATGACATGAGAATTGATCCATGATGTTCTATCCGAATTTTGCGTCAAATCGGGGTGCATACCATAGAGATTTTATTATACTAAATACCTATTTTCAAGCTTACAAGACGCGGCGGCTTCGAAGACGCACCCTAATATTGGAAAAAAATTTCTAAGAAAAAAAAGTCATTCTCATACAACAACACATTCACCATGCGTCCCTCACATACTGGCGACAGGTATTGTTTACATTAATTAATCGTCTGATTTTGTTTGTATGGCAATGACATACTTGTCAAGAGCAGAAAGGCTTCCGCCGCTCCTAGTAAACAGAGCATGTTTAAGCTTGTGGCTCGGCTCCAGGAAGGTTTATAATCTTGGAAATACTTGTAACACATAAGTACTGAGGTTACATCATATAAAAGGCTGACTTAGATAGCTAGCATTATAGTATAATGACTCACTCAAATTCATGTTCATATCGGTCAAGCCAATTAGGTGACCGTCCAAGCTTACTTGAGCCTGGTAGTTTAAGTAAGATGAAGAGCGTGTTGGTTGAAATTATGATTTCTTCGAAAGTTTTCTTGTTTTTATCGTGGATTTTTGGTTATTGTACAGCTTTCTCATGTATCTGTTGCATTCGGTAAACTACAGAAACATTTGAAAATAACTTTTTGTTTTGTATTACTGACTTGTTATGTCTAGTGTACTCCCGAAGAAATTCCTAACTGCCAATTTTTAATGGCATCTCTCTGCCATTTTCCCTGACTCAGTGTGCACTCAAATTTCTTAGCCCATAACTTTATTCACGTTTTCTAGCAAACGAAATTGACTTACCAATTCTTTTATCACAAAATTATAAATGTACTATGAGTTTATTAGATTAATTTTGCGCAAGAACACAGCAGTAGGACCAATTACAATACAAAGCGTAGAGTGGAAATATAATGCTGGAGACTGTCTTCTTGTGGTTTCTGATCAATAGGTGACTACATTAATACTACGCTCAACGTTGCTTATACTGATTTTTGAATTCCCTGCACTGAGCCATCAGACCACATGATGAAACTAATAACTATCACGTTTGTAGCGAACGCGCGTCAGTACAGGAACAAAAGAGGCTCCAGTTACATCCGGGGTTTTCCCCGTTAGCAGCGGAACAGCTTAGCGTGTTCAGATACGGGCCTCTCTGGAAATTGCCTAGATCCGAATTACTAAATGCTAAATGATCCGAGCATATTTATCAAGGGACGCATTAGAGAGACATCCAGTTAGATGTGATCTCGCTCCCATGCTAAATGATCCGAGCATATTTACGAAGGGACGCATTAGAGAAACATCCAGTTAGATGTGATCTCGCTCCTATGCTAACTGATCCGAGCATTGTGTTACGGAATAAATAAGAGAGATAAAGAAGACAGAAAAGGAAAAACAATTTCAAAAATTTAATTTGCTTGATTTATTGGGTAAATAAATGGTGCCCGTTAGGCATTTATTGGTGAACATTTTTTGTTGGTATTTTGTTTCGCCTCTTTTGATACCAGATGAGCCGTGCCCTGCACTTCCGACATGCTGACAGGCGTGTTTCGTGATGACATTGAAGTCGGTACCGAGAGAATGTTTTTTCTTTTGTAGAGGATAAACAGAAAGAGACCCGTAGTGAACATCAGTATGAGACAAAGTGAGACAAAAAACCAGGTGAGCAGCTGATAGGTGGACGTTTTCTGTGCCTCCTTTTGTTCCCGATCTCTCCTCATCTTCTCCTCAATGGCAGTTTTATTTTGCAAATTTGAGATCAAGTTAGCCCAGAATGCCATTCGCCTCGGCAGGTAATTAGTGTCATGGCTGACCAAGGCTGTGTTATTCTCGCTGTAGAACTTGATGAATTGTTTTTCTTTCGATGTGTAATATCGGAACTCTTGTGTACCAATGAAGGCCTTCCTGCAAGTAGAAAAAGATTCTACAGTTGTCAATCAAAAGTTTGGAAACCCCTATCCCAGAATCACGGCACACAGTACCATCCAACCTTCAAAATAGGGCTGTTTCTCCTCTGCATTTTCGTGTAGAATGGTGCTCTGTGCCAGACAACTATACCTGAAAAGAATTGAATCAGGGTTATGATAACGAATTCTTGGAATAGTTGCCCAACCCATAATACCCTCAAATCCGACAGAAAATATGTGGAGTATTATAAATAAAAACGATTGAACCAATGAAAATCGCCGTCACAGATCATATGAATAATATTGAACCAATGAAAATTGCCATCACAGATCATATGAATCATGTTGAATCAATGAAAATCGCTGTCACAGATGATATGAATCATACTGAACCAATGAAAATCGCCATCACAGATCATATGAATCATATTGAACCAATGAAAATCGCCATCACAGGTCACATTTCAAAGAAGTTATAGAGACATATAGTATAGTATATAGTATATATACTATATATATATATATATATATATAGACATATAGTATAGTATATACTATAAGTTATAGAGACATATAGTACACAAGAAATCAACAATGATCAATACAAAGAAGACAAAAAGAAAAAGAAAAATGCATTAAACATAACTTTTTCGATTACTTAAATCGATCTTCACTTAATAACACATTTCTAGTTATATTTTACTTTGAGATGTAAGTTTCACTCGAACAGCCTCTTTCCACGAACCGCTACTTTTTCGATTACTACAATCTTTGTTCAATTTTAAGATTAACAGTTATCTTCCCCACATATCCTCATAAACTCTGCCTCTTTCTCTTACTCTGTAATCCTCTACCTCGAGTGGCTCTGAGGTCATGTACATGGTGAACATTATTGTAAAATAATAAAAAAAGAAAGATTCTTAGGTCAAATTTTTTCCTTATTATCCAATAACCTTGACTAATCATATTGGTTATGCTTGTCTAAATATTTATGGCAGCAGTTTTAAATATTTTCTTGCTCAGGTTTCACGTTAGAAGCAACAAAACTATTGAAATTAAATTCACAATCAGGTGTCGGTGGTGTCAACAGTGAATAGCCGGGGGACGTAAATGCACAGGTCGCACAATGAATCAACAGGGTTACAACTCTCGCAGCGAAACTTCGACGTACTCTGATCCAAACAAACTCTCCGTACTTTATTCCTTTTACCCGCTGTCGTCTCTTTATTATTTCGGTCGCTGCTCGGAGCCCCACTCGCAGACAGGAAAATGTCCTACCAGCTTACCGCAAATGGAAAATACGATGCGTCACGTTAATACGCCGGGAAATTCCGGAACAGTACTCCCTCGCTTCCACCGTAGTGTGTTGCATTTCCCTGAGACCTCAACGACTAATCCTTCAGGCACTTGGGATCCTTATTGATCAAACCGAAGGAGGATTATAACCTTGTCCGGACCTCATCTTCAGACATGTCCTCGTTGATATATATATATATATATATATATATATATATATATATATATATATATATATATATAGGCTGATATGGCATTCATCGTTGACTCTATTGCGTCAACATAGCCTTGACGATAGCTTTTATAATTGAAGCCGAACCCCAAGCGTGTCAAACGTTTCTTTAATTAATACTGTCTGAAATGGCCACAGTGACTCATGAACTTTTACCTGCAGATAGACCCTTCGTAAGTCCAGCAGGCTTATATTAGCCCCTTGCTAGCACAACTCCATCAATTTGGCGGCGCACACGTCTGCGTTCGTAGCGAATGCATCCACATGTTGGTTCAGTCCTCTGTAATCCATTACCGGTCACACTTTGCCTTTGGTGGGATGCACAACGGCCAACAGTGGGATCAATCCATTTGAGGCCCTAGCCTTTCCTGGGGATATGGTATCACCAACCATTAGTAATCCACAGCTGTAGCTCCTCCTCGTACGCGACCCTGTTCTTATTGGACACTGAGTACTCTGAAATTACATTTCGCAGCTGGTCTGGTGCTTCATTCATGGCCCACTTCCATCTCGCAGTCCAGATCCTCTCTTTGTGGTCAAACGTAGCACAAAAATCTGATTCCTCAATAGAGATAGTGATACATGATTATTGCTCTCCCTCAAGCAGTATATTTCCAGCTGGCGTGATCTTAACACCCACTAGGGCTATTATTGCGCCGATGCCTATCAATAGGTCGTAATTAACTTCGGCAAAGTCACCACTCTCTGAATGGATGGTGACAGTTCCTACACCACAACATTCTCGGGATGTGCCGATGATGATCATGACGTCCACATGATTTTTGCTCCACACCCGACAGCGATTCGCGCTAATTATTGACCGGGAACAACCCGTGTCGACGAGTGCCGAACAGTGCACACCCTCTTACCTGGATGCCAAGTACAGGCAATGCTGCATTAATTGTCTGACGGGAGACAAGAGTGCGAAGTTTCCCGAACAGTTGCGTGATATGCGGCCCAACTCATTACAGCAATAGCACCACAAGGTTCCCTGTGATCGTTGATACACGATCCCCTTACTACCTAGACTCCGTTACTCCCTAGAAAAATGACGGGAACGCAATGGACGAGAGAAGCAGCATCTACACCACATTTATAGCATACGGGGCCTTCACGCCTGTTTCCAACCTGGGAAGGATCCGCATTGCTTCCATCGTGTCGGGATACCACGCGACTCGTGTTTTCTGCTGCAACTGGTTGTTTCATTGAGGATGTTCCGAGCCACGGCCAACAGCTGGTCAGCCGATAATTCATCAATCCTAGACGGCGCTCGCAAAATCCCACCCCAATATCTGGTCATTTACGCTGCCAAACGACACTGAGATTTTGGGTAAATAGGATAGGTATACGTCGACCATTTCCTCGGTGCAAAGTCGCCATTCTTTGAACTGTTGGTTTGAAACAAAGGCGTCCGTCTCGAAATCCTTATACAAGACGCACTTTATGTCGTCTAAGACATTTCCGAGCTGTTAGCACACGCGTATTAACCTCAAGAGAATAATGGTTGCTGGCTCCTTTATTTTGCTTTCTCGAGTCATTCGATGGCAGACAGCCCATCAGGAGACCCCCTCAAATTCCAGTATCAGCGGTAGGTCGAACCTGTCCATTATATGTAAATTGCCGAAATAACTTGAAGTTAAATAACAAACCAGTGGGGGTGGGCTTAACGGTCAAAAGCCGGGGACGTAGATGCAGAGGTCGCACAACGAATCAATAGAATTCAACTTTCGTAGCGAAACTTCTACGTACTCTGATCCAAACAAACGCTCTGTACGCTACGAGTCCACTTTCCATCTGACTGTGCGATTCACTCTTTATTACTATTCCCAGTCACGCATGCAAATTAAAAAAGAGTACCGTCACGCATGCGTCGTGGGACGATTGCTAATGGGGGCTCTCCTTCCGGTTTCTTCTGGAGAGATGCTGCTTTTCTCGACCGTTGCGTAACGTCTGTTACGTAGCGGTGGAATGACCGGCTATAACCAGCTTAGACAAGCTCTGACCAGCTTAGACAAGCTAAGACCAGCTTAGACCAATTGTCAGAGTGGAGACACTCGGATCCTCACGTTAAAAACCGACCTTGTGTCATAACCTGGCTCAGCGGCGGGGGGGGGTAGGGGTCAAGTAAATATCGGGACGATAGCGTGGCCGCTCCTCGCGACCACGGTTGACATTGTCGCGACCTCGGTCATGTTGAATTTACACGCCAATCGGGTATGTGCTCGCTTCGCCCGACGAGGTAAGTGTATTCTCTTGCTACAACTATATTTGTGCTCTTTATATGTAAATTCAAAAATATATTTGGACAAAAGATAAGAAAAATGTATTTATGCTTTAAAGCGTTTGCAAACATTATATTTGGTGGGTACATGTGTTTGAATTGTTACCACAACTCTTTTTTTTTAACAGTAAAATTATTGTCAACACGCCTAGAAATTAATATTTATGGGACATCCACTCAAACACATATAAGTATTAAATATTTTAGCAATAAAAATTGTCAGATTAAAACAGTTGAGCCTTTTATCCAAATGGTATAATTTTCTACACACAGATTCGTGAATGCTGGTATAGATTTTTTTTTGCACTTTTGTTTCATTGCTTAATATAATTTTAATGTAGTTGTATATATATATATATATATATATATATATATATATATATATATATATATATATATATATATATATACTTTATTGTAGGATATTACATTCAGACATGTATAAACCACTTATGTTTCGATTTGTGTCCTCATGTCTTATCAGGCGTTAGTAATTGAGTCAATTACTAGCGCCTGGTGAGATGTGTATCAACACATCGAAACATAAGTGGCTTATACATGTTTGAATGTAATATCCTATAATAAAGAATATTGCTCTACTCTTGAATTGTATTGAGCCCTATTTTAAATTAATGTACTCAACGTTTGAATTTATATCTGATTCGTTCTCATTTCATTCATTCACGCACACACACGCGCACACACGCGCACACACACACACACACATATATATATATATATATATGATGAAATATAGTCGCGTATGAGTGTTGACTACAATGTCTAGTTATATATATGTTTCACTTTCCTGTCTCCAGTGTTTAAGAATAAAATTAATTGCCTGAATGGTAGTTTAGTTTTAACTCATTTTTTTGTATTTCGAGGAGACAACACATTAAAAGATGTTGATGTTTAAATCTAAATATGTAATTAAAATCCATTAAGGAACGGTAGATACATAATTATTTATCCCTACCTGAATAAATGCACTTGAATCGCACCAACGCTATGCTTTTAACATCTTCGCTTACACTCCGAAATTGTATTTACTTTTTTAATTTTTTTTTAAATAGGAGTAGATAGGTTCGCCACTCGCCCGGTTCACATCCTCCCTCATCTTTTGAACAGGAGTAGAGGTTTATTCCTTGTTTCATGTTTAGGGTTGGGTTTCCTGTTCTTTCACCTAAAGTCTTCTCATTTTCTTTCACCCCCTCCCCCAGTACCACTTTGCGTCATAGTGGCGTTATTACCTTACTTACGGTGAAATGATTTTAAAAAAATGTCTTTATTCTGTCAGTCACCGTACCAAGTGCACTAATGATAACTTGTATGGTTGTGACTTTCTCCAACTTCCAAAAGCCTCACAAGTTCAAATTACAATCAAGCATAGTTGGTTACTGTCTATTCTTCCCCTTTCTCTATCCTTGTATAAAAAGAAGATGGTGGATCAGAAAGTAATCCTTCAAAATATTTCATTATTTATTTATTGCAATACATATGATACAACACATACAAACAGTAAATTTGAAGAATATTATTATTATTATTATTATTATTGATTACATATTTATGACGCAAGATCTGCTAACATTAAAACAAAGGTCAAGAAAATTATTTTACAAAGCAAAGTATAATAGATCAAACATCTCACTCGTAAAAATTCAGATAGATGACACAATAAAAACTCATACGAGATTTTGCAACAGGTTGGAGGCAGTCAACACACTAATGCCAACTCGTCTGCACTAATCTGTGCTAAGCGAACGCCAGACGGAAGTGAAGCAGCTAGAGATCAAAAGACTCACTGACAACTGAAAGCACAGAGCAGCTTTTCGAAGTTAGCATGCCTAGACTTCCTTTTCTCTTGTTACTTACTAATTCACGTTCATTTGTACAAACATTGCAAATAATAAGATTGTCTACTAAGAAAAAATATATTGGCTAAAATCTTTTTACTCATAAAAAAACCTTTCTTCGAAAATATAAATAAATTGTAGTTTTGAGTTTTAGAATCTTTGCATATTCGTTTCTTATATTGTGATTATATATAATTTCTAAGGCGACTATGTATTATCACAAGGTTCCGGCTGCTATTCGCTTTGAATTCCTGCAGATGACTATTGTACATTGTTTCATTTAAATCCATTTCCTTGTCTTTGTTTTCTTTGCAGTACTATTCGGCTTTCTTTCTGTCTCAACATCAACAAACGATGGCTTCATACTAGTCCACTGCTTCATTCAAACCAGTGTTGCATCAGGCAAGAGTTACTTAACCTTCAATCACCAACATTTTTTGCTGCGTATTTTCAAAACGTAGAGAAAACAACAACATCTTAATAAGATCATTTAATGACTGTACTTACCCAGTTTTCACGAAGTTACCAAAGAATGTCATTAACTTTTTGCTGACCTCTTTATCCACATCGGTATAGTTTCGCAAAGCGTGACCCACCAAGGGAGCACCAAACAAGTAAAAAATATCCTCACCATGGGGAACTCCTTCAAGTAGGTAAAAGGAAAGAATGTAAGTGTTATGTGTTGTAAACAGAATCTAAAGAATTTAATAAATGTAGCTTAAGATGAGGTTCCTTGCAATTATTTTCATTTTACTGTGAATATAGCAATAAATGGCAATAAATTGTCGAAAGAAATTTTCATGCTAAAAATCAGCCACATTATTTTTGATCGATTTCTGAAAGTTTGTACTGAGTCGACAATTTATGACTTCGTTGATCGGCAGGGAGAAGATTTTGTCTTAAAATGAAGCCATGCTTTAGCAAAGACTTTTTTCAACGAGTACATTATATTAATAAGTATATTATTATATAAGGCTTTAATATGGGCACCTCGAGGTGGTGTAATGGTTAGCAAGCTTGTCTTGCTAGAACAATTACGACTGGGTTCGATCACTAGGAGCCCGATAATTTCGGCCTTGTGCCACATCTAAGCTGTGCTTGGAAAATTGCTATAAGGCTTGTCATGACTGTATTTTGCGTATTTATATTTTTTGATTGGTCAATGACATTATAAAAATGTATGTAAAAAAATATGAATTTTTAGTCGACGCAGGTGACGAAATTAACGCTATTCACCCGACAACCCCCCCGCCAAAAAAAAATTAACACCAGCGCTGTGTAAACTCCAAAGAGTGAACGGTACAAAAGTTGAGACATATGGTGGAAAATTACTGACATTAAAGTTTGGAATCCGACAAAGTTTTTCGTGGATTTTTATTCAAGCAGACGGGAAAACACCCATACTAGGAGCAGATTTCCACACACATTTCAACCTATCAATGAATATAGCTAACAAGACATTGATGAACAACGAAACCCAACTAAAACTCCGTGGAATTCCTATAGACAATGCACTTGCGAAGTCCGATTTACTGTTTATAAACACACAATCCTCGAGGATTTTTTTTGCTAACCAAACGCTTCTCTGTAGCTTAATGGTACAGCACGTCAGGTCAAATGACGGTTTCCGTATAGGAATACAGTTTCGATTCCTGTCGGAGAACGCATATTTTCTACGAAGTTTCTCGAGGTAGGTAAATGTAATTAATACTGTTTAATTAAAAACAGCATTTATTTAAAATAAATTGTATCTATAAAAATAACGTATAAACAGAAAATCTATTAAGTAATTTTTAATCCATTTCTTTATATATATATATATATATATATATATATATATATATATATATATATAGTATGTGTGTGTATTTAGGCATTTTTCATTCATACATGTTTCATTAAATAATATAGACAAGTGTTGTCTATTTTATGTAAATTCTTTTCATAACGTCTGATAAGCTTAATAAATATGGATCAATATTGTGATTTTCTTTCTTCGTTTAATGATAATGTTATTAAGCTTATCAGACGTTATGAAAAGAATTTACATAAAATCAATAGACAACACTTGTCTATATTATTTAATAACACATGTATGAATTAAGAACCAAATAACACACACACAAACACTTAACAGAGACACATCCCATCTCCAGGACCAATAAAACTGTCAAACTGACCAGGGGAATTCAGAGAAGCATAGATCCATCCATCTCTTATCACAAATAACAACTTAAAAGAGACTGTTTGACCAATACAAGGAATGTTAAAAGATTCATGTTAAAAAGATAAAAAAACAAATGAAAACTACAGACAAAAGTTCATTTTCTATATCAAGACATTCATTTCTGTAGTTTACTGCTACCAGCAAGCAGAAATATTTCTTCTCCTGATGATGGCCATTTTGGCCGAAACTAGTCGAGGAATCTAAATGAAATAATAAAAAACGAAAGAATATTAATCTACAACCCAGTGTGTCTGAAGATTTTAGTTTTTAATATTTTTTTATTTTTATATATATATATATATATATATATATATATATATATATATATATATATATATATATGTGTGTGTGTGTGTGTGTGATAATTTAATTCCCGGAATTCTTTGTGAAAGCAAAGTTTGCTTCGCTGGACGCTATTGGCTGCTATCAACTCAAAAGTGTCGCCCTCTTGTGAAGCTATGCACTTCGTGAGGCGATGGTGCCATTGATGGAAATTTTCTGGGACCTCTTTTTTCAGAATTTCTGTTGTTCCGTGTTGTTGGATGTCTGCGATATCAGCAAATCATTGTCCTTTCAGGATATGTTTCAGTTTTGGAAATAGCCAAAAATCACAGGAGGTGAAGTCTAGTGAATAAGGTGGATTTCGCCGAGGAACTCGCCAACTTTTAATGCATGACGCGCAGTAGCATTGCCATAGTGAAGAAACCAGTTGTCAGGTCAGAGTTTAGATATTTTCCTCCAAGCAGATTCTCATAACACTTTCAATATTTCCAAATGAACATATGGATTGATAGTTTGTCCTTTGTGGCATATAAGATAAGAATTTGTAATTTTCTTCTTCTCATCGAATCGCTACACTCCACCCATCCAAGTGTTGCACATACAGGATCTTCAAGATTGGGGCAAACATCGTTGGCATATACCCATTTCTGAAGGCTTACTCTACAGGGATCATCAGCTGTTTGGAGCCGAGTTAAGCAGGATCAGAAGGACCATATATCATTGGAGCCATTTGGGAGGGATTACGTAGGGTTGGGAGGGAGCTTGTGTTCCACGTTATTGTTCAAAGGTTCGACTGAGGGTACAAAGCTGTATCTTGACTTGAATTTCTTTGTTAGCGGTTCACAGCCGTGGAGTGGATGTCGAGGGCCAATTATCTGCTTCAACTTCTCGAGTTGGGAGAGGACTGTTCTTCTTATATAAGGGGGAGCCGTGCCATCTCCTCTTGTTGGCCTGAGACACCCAGTAATCGACCTGCAAGAGGTGTTTTAGCCAGGGTCGATTTTCTTTGCATGCGATGATCTTTTCCACACTGGTTAGGCATATTCTGCTGTGGAATAGCAAAGCGTGGTGCGGGTTGTACTGGCATGGGGCACTCCATTTAGTGTTAGCCAACTTCTTTTGGATGTTGTTTCTAGTAAACTATATACACGTGATTAAAGAAACACACAAGCAAGGATACATGCATACATTTTTCATATCTTCTTCAAGGTTTGTGTCATGGTATGGTTTTCAGGCTCTTTCCAAAGGTGCCGCACGCTGGGATCCAGTCCGATAACATGAGGAAGTTTCCTTCTCCATAACATTCTAACCCCTTGGCCACGTGCTCATACTCGATAACAGATTAATTAGCTTATAATTAGCAAACTTCTACTTTGATTAGAATTATTACCAAATTTATGGAACCTAATAGCTTCCAAGTTGAATTTAGAGACAGTCAAATACTTCTTTACATTCAAACATTATCCATTGGACAATTTTCAAATTCAAAATGTGGAAATTAGTATGAAAAACACACCTTTAACTTATAGAAGTTAAGAATAGGTTTCGTCGGTTTTAGGCACCAAAATTTATAGACGGTTAACACGAGTTAAAAATCATAAAAAAATTACAAGTCATGTATTTTTAGACGTGAACATAGCAAAGAACAAAAACATTTGTGGCGTTAAAAAACTTTTTTTCACTAGTCAGACAAAAAATATTTCTCCCAAAAGGCTATAAAAACTGACGATATTTACTCACTGATGCCGCAGGTTCAATCTGACTTCGTGTCACTCGCGATCAAAAATGTCGTCAGAACCTTTGACAAGCTTATTTCAAAATGACTGAAATTTACAATTGTCTTCCTTACAGACACATAAACACGCGTTATGAATGAAATTTCTTCATTCCATATTCAATACACACTTAGCAATCGCCGAAGTACGATTTGTAAAAAATTAAATAAATTCAATGTTTATTTCACATAACTCTATTTTCTATCTTTCATTCCAATTCCATTGCCTTTTTTTTGCCTACTGATGAATCGAAAAATGTCTTTCTATTAGCATTTTAGTTTTACGTCAAATTCTCAGTGTTTGCCGGTCAATCTTCTTTTAATGTTGACGTTAGAATGCCTGTTATAGATCACTTATACAAGGCTGTGCTGCAACCACAAACTCATTAATGTTTGATCAAGAAACAAGCCAGTACGAGTTCATTGTTACTATTTAAACGTCTATTCACGTGCTCATTATCGGATAAGATCTTGAAGGGCATTGTCGATGGCCCGGCTTCTGAAATCTATGAGATCAACGCAGGTTCCCTACAAGGCTCACTACTCAGTCGTACCCTCTTTCTCATTTATATTAACGACTCGCCTAAGAAAATTCTCGGGTCGTTAGTAAATATATGTGTATATAATACCACAGTGCATGGTTGCACCTGCAAAAACAAAGACGACCAGTAACTGGCAACCGCCCTCTCCTCTGATCTACTTCTAACTGCCCAATGGTGGAAAAACTAACTTTTAATACTTTCAAAAATAAGTGTTCATCATCACCGAGCTGACCCTATGAAGACGATGAATACTGGCAAAACTCTCACTGAAACTCCTTGGGTGTCTTTTGGGAAGAATGGCCTGTTTTTTTTTAATACTGCTCCAGAAAGTACTGCACCTGCTATGTCCTATCTTTACAAGGACTGTCTTGACAGTGTTCAAAAGCGTTTACTCCACTCTGTTAGAGATAAATTATTTTCCACCCTACAAACTACCACCTACAGACACAACGTCGTAAGCTACCATATCGTTATTTACATGAAAGAAGATCTAAGGTGTTGTATTCGCCAGTTTCACCAGTTCAGACCTTTACAGTTCAGATTTGTCATATCATATACTCATGGGAAACCATCCTCATTCCCTTCGTATTCCGCTGGTTAGAAGGAAATTTCATTCAGATATCTTTCTCCCAAGAGGATGCTTCCCGAACATTAAAATCGTAACCTGTAGGGTCGACATATCCTCATGAACTGCATTTATTTCCCCCTCCTACGTCCATACAAAAACCTTCTTTCGAAGCCCTCCACCTTGAATGGATCTTGTATTGGGCTAACATTTTGTAAAATATATTTTGCATACCGTATTTTATTGTGCATTATACGAGAAATTTTGAACGAAAATTAAAGGTAAAAAGGGGAGATTCGTATTATACACAACTACAGGTTTTTAGACATTTTTACTTAGCTTAAAAAAACTCTTATTTGAAAGATCAAGATTACAAATGCACTCAGCACAATAGGTAATAAAACAGAAAGTAGGCAGGTGTTGGTAAGAATTGTTCAGAAAAGATATTTGATAATTTATGTCGATACGACATTGAGATTTTAATGGATGATATGTTGCAAAAATTATATAGGAATAGCTGTACTACGGGATCGTATTATAGTCAAGACTGTAATTTATTTATTGTTTTTAGTTTCAGAAATAGGATGTCGTATAGTACTCATGTCGTATTATACACAAGAAAATACGGCATATATTTTCCAATTTTATTGCAGTTTTATTGAGTTTATCTAGCAGTTTTGTTTTATGTCAAAGTCTTTTCGGTATTTGCCAGACAATGTTTTTTTAATGGTGGCAAGGTGGCTGTCATATATTGTCACTTGTACGGGGTCAGGTGATAACAGTCATACTGCCACCACAAACTTATTAGCTTTTGATTAAGAAACAGGGAAATACAGGTTCTTTGTTACTATTTTGACATCTATTCACATGCTCGGAATAGAATGAATTGAATGGAAATCTGTTTCGGACACATGTTACATACCTATCCATTCGGGTCGCTTATCTTCTGTGGACCGATGGAAAAACGTGTAGAAATAGACCGGAAATTTCCTTTTGGCAAGAAGTTCCACACACTGGATGCATGGGTATGTCAAACTGTAATCGCCAAACAACTAGATTGGAAAGAGAAGCAATAAAAAATAGAGTTTAATTTTTCTTCAATTCCTTATTATTATAATAGAGTAACAACTCCAAGTAGAATCTTATGAGGGTTTATTTTAGAAATTCTGGTTCAGAGCTGAAAAAAAAGTTTTATTGTGATAGATGGTTATGAGCGAGAGGGGCGAGGGGATGTGCTTATTTTATTACCACAATTATTCTACCAGCTTTGAGATGGTAGAGTATTTTAATCAATCCTTATCCAGGTGTGTCTGTATCTTTGCAAATATATAGAAGATGAATCTATATTTTAAATGAAATCGGTCCCGCACTGTTATAGGAAATAAACGCTATTTCCAACACAATTATATGCCCACATTATATACCATATTAAAATACGCACACATTTTATTTTCTACACAATAATAGACAATATTACAAACATGCCAACAAGACTCTACAATGCAACACACACCGCTTAAATCAAAGTGTCTGTTGCGGAATAATAATACGTTTGGGTAGAAATATTAGTCACCATTATGTAGTGGGAATCAACACTTTGATATTAAATGTTGATGGGCTCCTGGAACATTTATCCCGCAAACAATATTGGCGGACTCAGCGTGAGTCTGGGTAAAAATAAAAGCATAAAACAATGAATAAGAAACAAACGACAATGTGTGTTATTACCAAAAAGGAATTACATATGTACATAATTGTAACGAAAGAAACAAACATTAAAATTTGTTATAAGAAGAATGTGCGTTTGAGACACGTGTTTTTATGTGTGTGTGAGAGAGAGAGTTCAAAAGTCAACAGAGGACTAAGGGAAGCGAATGCGCTTCAGCGGCAGCCATTTTATCTACGTGCGACCTACATCAGAAAACCAGAGATAAAACGAACTAAATAAAGAAAGAGATAGAATATCATTACCTTTTTATAGATCTCAAGAGCGCACCCTAGCAGGAGTTTTGGCAAAGCTAAGTGGCATAACTCATGTCTATTGGTTAGAAGTTAACATCACCATGTGAAGTATTTGACCGTAGTAAACTGGAACCCTATTTTTCTCCTACTTTCGGGAAAAAAATCTTATAAAAGGCTAGAGATTTCCACTGTCTCTCCCCCAGCGGGGACTGAAAGAAACATATGTCGGCGACTTCAAACGAATCATCTCCAACAATAACAACGACAGTCAGTGAATTTTCTCTAACGAAAAATATTTTTTTCAAGACCAACTAAAAAAGTCTTTTCTGGACCACAGATTTTCTGTATACCAACTCCCCAAAGAATTTAAATTAGCTAAAGACTATTTTTATTCAATTTTGGATTCATGTACATATGTTTGTAAATACAACTGATTTATTCAACAGGCATGAGACCATGTTTCCTTTATTTTGATTTTATTATTGTTTGGAATTCGGACGTTCGGATTTTTAATATAACTGAGGAACAGAATTTCCTACATCATCTGTTTGTGAATTTGTATGTAATATATATTCCTTTGTCTGTGTTGGGCATGAGTGACTTAAGTGTGTTCGGGCCATTTTTTTAATCATTTCGCCCCAAGATGCGAGGGATTATTGGGAGTGAATGAGAATGAGAAGATTTTAGCGAGAAGAACAGGATTCAAGATAGGTGATAGCAATTGGCATTTCATTTAAACTTTTGAAGATTGTAAGTTGCAGGGGAGCATGAAGCTGGAGAGAGAGAGAGAGAGAGAGAGAGAGAGAGAGAGAGAGAGAGAGAGAGAGAGAGAGAGAGTTCCACAGTTGAGAAATGCTAGAAAAGAAACTATTAGAATAGAACATACGGTGACATCTAGCTAGTTCTACAGTAAAACGGTGAGATCTATTTGCCAATAAGCGAATAAAAGGAGGTTCATTAAAATAATTGTCATGAAGATATTTATAGAAAAGACAGAGGGAAGCCACGCCAGGGCAACAGGAAATTGACTGAAGTAGAAATGTTTGGTCACGAACGATTATATTGCTGATTCTTCTTTGGATTTTATCAAGAATTTCGAATATATATAGCAGGAGATATATCTCGAGATATTAAGGAATATCGAGATGTTGTCACATCTGGTCTGGTGCTTCCGCCATGTATTTAGAAATTCTAGATAAAATACAAAGAATGTGAAATGTTATTGGTCCTGACCTGGCATATCGGCCTCAGTCACTTTTTTACAGCTGTAACGAAATTTCTCTGTGCCTTTTCTTGAAATATTTTCATGATAATTATCTGATTTTAATTTTTCTCTTTGATACATAAACTTTATGAATTTTAGCGTAGTACTGGATTGGCAGCAAGGTCTCATCATTTTACAGATGAAGTGGCTAGATGTAACAGTAAGTTCTATGCTAACATTTCCTTCTCTTGCACTGCTCTGTCCACTGGGGCTTTAGAATATGCCGACTGCATCTCTGTAGAGGCCACCTGTTTGCCGTGGGTGGAGAACCGTAATGTCTAGGAACGGGATCCTTGGGGGTGAGGACTTCAGGAGTCAGGGTTAGATACTTCTAATTCCTAACACACCACTTTGGCCCTTACTTGGACTAAACAGGCAGTCAGAGAGACCAAATCCGATCAATCTGCTGGTCATACCAAGATACCCAGGATAAAATACGATGTCTATCCAATTTATAGGCACTAGAAAGCAATGGCTGAAGGTCAATCAGTTTGAAGAGATCTAGACTTAGATATGGCTGTAAACATACTAGTTTGTACATTTATCATTTGGGAAGTGCAACAAATGGTTTAATGGGTGCTCAGAGTCTCTTTCAGATATGAGTATACTGCTTTGTGTAGCCTTGACCTGTCAAGATGGCTGGGTTCCCCCTTTGACACATTCCTGAGATTGAGATGGGTAGGGAGCACAGGCAGGGAATTTTACTACTTCAAAATTATAAATACCCGAAACAAAAACCCCAAATGATATATATCAGACTCTGATTCTGAAAAAGAATTAAGTACTGAATTTCCAAGATTTTTATGTTCTCATGTTCCTAGATGAAACTCCGCTAGCGACATTTTCCTCTTTCTTGATTGAAAAGGTTTCCATCCAGTTGGATGAACCCCAAAACAGTTAAGAAATTGAGAAACAGCAATTTACTAGTAGAAGTGGAAAATAGGAAACATAGAAAGTTCAATCAAGATGAAGACTTTTCATAACCTCAAAATGAAAACCTTCTTCCATGAAAGATTGAACACTTCTAAGGGAGTCATTATAAGCAGAGAGTTGTATTTGGGCACACCAGAGGAAATGACATCTGCCTTAGGAAGCCTGGGGTTCAGTGATTACTGTAGAATTGCAATAAAAAGGAAAGGAGAAACTATAAGAACAGACACATATATCCTTACTTTTGTCCCACCTCAAATCCTTAGAAAAATAAAAGTCGGGTACAACATTGAGCCAGTGGAACAATATATTCCTGCTCCACTAAGGTGCTTCAAGTGCCAAACATTTGGGCATCATAAGGATAGCTGCAGGAATCACACAACATGTGGAAAATGTGGCCAAAGGGATTCAGACCACATGGAAGTAGAATGCCACTATGAATTAAGTTGTGCTAACCGCCAGGAAAACAATCCAGCATACTCGTTATCATGCAACTCTTGGAAAAGGGAAAAGGAGATAGATTGGAGAGGTGAAATATAAATGAAACATCTTATACATTGAGGCAAAGCAAATTGTAGAAAGCTAATATAAAATGTCCTTCCTATGCAAAATAATGCAAAGAAGAACCACAATGAATACTAATCAACTTGATAAATACAAACCCCACATTGAGAAGCTGATACGCCAGGCTGTAGCTGTGGACTTCTCGGAAGCCTTTGACAGGGTTTGGTATGCCAGTCTTCTCCACAAGCTGAAAAGTTACAATGTTTCTGGACACTTTTTTAAACTGATCCAGTCTTTCCTATCAAATCGCGAAATGAAAGCTATCCTGAATGGATACAGAGCCCTCATTGAGAAGCTCATACACTTGGGACCAAATGACAAATTTCAGAACTACCTGAAGGACATATACTCCAAGGAGATAGTCCAGACGGAACCACAAAAGAAAGCCAATAAAAGAATTGGAATAATAAAGAAAAAAAATACAAAATCTATCACTCAAATACAAAGTACTCCTCTATAAATACCAAATCTCCTACAAAGGTTACAGTGATCTCCTATTCGTCCATCAAAAACCATCCAAGATAGACGTAAGTACATATCTCGCTAAGAAATAGAAGCAGCCAAACAAAAACCAGAAATTCACAGTGACCAAATTCCTACACAAAACAGATTTGACAAACTTGAAGAAGTATAAAGGCAGAAACCACAAACGGAAAAAAAACCCTCCAAACTCAAAACCTCAGAAAATTAAATCACATCATCCCACATCACATACTATGCTAAAGCCCCAAAAGATTTAGCAGTGAAGTATCAAATAATTCAATGGCACTGCCACGAAATAAAGGCAATCATAAATGAACTGCTTCTGCTGATAACAGACCTATCACTGGCAGTTGTTTGCCTTCAGGAAACATTCCTTAAGCAAAATGACAAACTGAATAGGAAAGAATACGATCAATACAAATACATACATGATACTGGGCTTCAAGCATCAGGCAGTACATCCATCCTAGTTTAGAAATGATGTGCTGTAAATTTAACAGCTATTTTACAGGCGACTGCTGTTAAAGTGATCTTACAAAGTCCAATAAACATCTGTTCAGTATATATCCTATCTAATGGACCAGTAAATGAAGATAAAATTCATGAAATCATAAGGCAACTCTCTGCCACTTTTATGATACTTGGAGACTTTAACTGTCACAGCACCATTTCGGGACACAAAAAGACACAAACCAAAAGGGAAGTACATTAGAAACAATGATTTATGTATTTGTAATGATAAAAGCCCAGACTTAAATCCATTTTCTGGCAACTACTCAGCAATAGACTTATTCCTATGTGATCCACCAATTTAGATGGATTTCTCATGGAAGGTACTGGCAGATCACC